TGATCATATGTGTCAGAAAAGGACACACACGGCGCAACATCATCGTCGTCGGAGCAGCCGTAGTCGGCGATCGCGAAAATTCCAGGTGCCTGCCACCCCGCCACCGCGCACGCGCAAGACGAGGAGGGCGGGAGAGGGCGGAGAGTAGGAGCACGAACAGGAGAAGGGCGAAGAGCAGAAAACCGCCACCATGCCGCGATGCACGAGTTGGAGTGCCCTCAGGTCCCTTGTTGTCCTCAGTCCTCGGTCCTCAAGATCGACCCCAATGTTCAAAAGTATTCGGCGTTCCCGGCGTGCCTCTTACGTTGCCCGTGCGCTTCCCGCTTAATTTCTCTGAACCGTTAACGCCCTCAGACGGGCCAAGAGGGCCCCGAGAGGCCTCTGGCCTACAACCCAGGAATAATGGCGGGATGGGCCGAAGGCCAGTAGATAGCGGAGGTGGATATGGATGAGGAAGAGAACAGGAGGAGGAACGACAGAAGATGAGGAGAAGAGGCGGGAGGAATCTCATAAGCCCTGTGGGGCGAAGGTGATTTAGAGCGTTTCCTATTCCAACGCCCTTCTTCCCCTTCAGAGAGGGACTTACCCCTCCCCCATACCTCCTCCCGGGGTTGGGGCGCACGGGGGTCGTTGTAGCACCCCAGATAGCACACTATTGACTCCAAAATGGCTCAAGATAGCGCAAGGCCGCTCAACATGGTGCCCAACACATTCCAACAGGTCCCAAGACCACTCCAAGAGAGGTCCAAGTGGCTTTGCGGGCTCCCCAGGACACCCTCAAAGAGGCGAACATCCGAACAACACCTAAAGGACATCCATGAGTTTGGCCTTCTCGCCCGTCCGCTTCCGATCACCCTCCCAGGCCTCAAGATGGTTTCCAAGAAGGCCCAAGAGAGACCCGAGAGAGGCCCAAAACGGCGCCAAGGCGGCCCACGAGCGCCCGAAGGGCGCCCCAAGAGCGCCGCAAGAGAGCCCCAAGAGGCGACTTTAGGGGCTCCAGATGGGGCGATCCAAATTGAGGACCCTCCTTTGATCGATGTCCTCCACGATGGTCCAAAGAACGCATCCAAGGCTCCCAGGATGGCTCCAAAAAGGCCCCGAGAGGCCCCTAAGAGGCCCCCAAGGGACTCCGTGAGGCCCCCAAGACGCTCCAAGAGGCCACCAAGAGCCCCAAGGATACTTTCCAAGTGACTCCGAGAGGCATCCAAGATGCCCCTAGTTCACTGGGCTTCCCTGAGGTATCCAAATGATGCCACACTTCCCCGACAAAAGAGCAGTTCCTGCATTGGCTGGTGGGGATACGCCAAGCGTTAATAATAACAGATAAGGGGTCAGGGGAGAAGAGTATGGTGAATGAAAAAAAGTATTACGGACATCGTGAACAGGACGAGAAGGAAGGTGAAAACTAATCGACCAGAAGGAAAATGAAAGGAACCATGATAATGATGAGGGAGGTGAGGAGAATAGGCTTTCTGCGTCCACCTACTCCTCCTACTTCTCCTTCTCCTCCGAATCATCCTCTCTTCATGCACCTCCTCGTCATCAGCGTCCATCTCATGCTCCTGATCTCCACATCCTCTTCCCCTCATCAGCATCATCATCATCATCATCATCATCATCATCATCATCATCATCATCATCAGCATCAGCATCAGCATCAGATCATCATCATCATCATCATCATCATCATCATCATCATCATCATCATCACCATCACCATCACCATCACCATCACATCACCATCACCATCACCATCACCATCACCACCACCCACCACATCACATCATCATCATCATCATCATCATCATCATCATCATCATCATCATCATCATCATCATCATCATCATCATCATCATCATCATCATCATCATCATCATCATATCTAACTCCCTCCTCCACCTCTTCCTCCTACGCCGAAGATGTGTCGCAGCCCAGCCGCGATCTCCTGAGCCCCCCCTCATCTCGCCACACCTCCGCCTAACCCTCATGTGCAACAGCAAAGCACACCCGCGTCGCGAACCTCGTCATCCGCCTCCCGCTCCAGTCTCCTGCCTCCTGCCTCACTCCGTCCTCCCCCTCCTCCCCCCTCCGCCCACCTCCTGGTAGGGGGCCACATGCGAACCCTACCCCTACCTCCCACGACTTCTGAGGGGGAGGGTGGGGTTCACTTCGTTCGGGAGCTCCCGAGCGAAGTGAACCCCCAGAAATCGTAGGGGGTAGGGGTAGGGTTCGCATCTGGCCCCCTACCTGGCTCCCTCTCCTCCTCTCACGGCCTTTCGGCAGCGAGAAGCAGTGAGCTGTGCCTGTCGGGCCCTCCTGGGCTCCGGCTCTAGCGTTCCGGGCCGCCCCGGCTCTGGCTCGCGGCCCGGGTCTCCAGCCTTCGCTCCGCGCTTTGCTCAGGGCTTGGGGCCAAGAGGAAATCCCCCCCCCCACAACAGACACTTCTTGGTCTGCGGGTCGAGGGCGAGCCTCTTCCAGTTAAGAGCTAGGCGGGGCGCGCAGAGCACTAAAAACTAACAACTTGGGGAGACAGGGCGCGAAAACAACCCGCAGCAAACACACGCACACCATCCTCTGTACTCCGTGCTCAGTTCTCCGTCCTCGCCCACAGGTCGCTACAGCGATTAGGGTCAAGTCATAGCTTGACGAACAATTGGTCATCTCCTCCTGTTGTGCTCCGCTTTCGCTGTCATCTTAAAGTGCTGTTGCTACTCTCTAAGATCCTCTGCCCACAAGCTGCTAACCGTTTCGCCCATCCCATCCGCCTCCCCATCTTCCTCACACCTCGCCCTCCCAGCAGTCGTACCCCCATTCCCCTCCTCCGAATTCCTCGTCTGCCTCCAGCTTCCCCTCCAGATCCATGTTTCCCCTCCTCCTACTCGCCACCACCACTACTATCCTCCTCCTCCTCCTCCTCCTCCTCCACCTCCTCCTCCTCATCATCAGCATCATCACCATCACCATCACCATCATCAACATCACCATCACCATCACCACCACCACCACCATCACCATCACCATCACCATCACCATCACCATCACCATCACCATCACCATCACCATCACCATCACCATCATCAGCATAATCACCATCACCATCATCAGCATCATCATCATCATCATCATCATCATCATCATCACCAGCAGTAACATCAGCATCATCATCACCACCACGTGCCAAACCACAGACATAACAGTGGCCAGCATACACACACACATCGGATTGAAAGGTTAAACCTCTTGAAGAGAAGCGGGCCTGAGCCTGTTCACGCCCTCCTGGCTTGCCTGCTCCTCTTGCCCGTCGAGGCCCTCGCCGTCCTCGCTGCCCTGCTCCTCGTCGTCATCGCCCACTGATGCCAACCAAAGAACGGCACGCTCGCAGCGCATTAACTGCGCGCTCGCGCGCGACGCGGCACCCCTGTGGCGGTCGGCCGTCGCACTCCCCTGGCGTCTCGAGCGCGGCGGTGGTGGCAGACGTTAGACGGGGCCGGTGCGTGCGGCCCTGCAGCCCCCGAGGATCTGTTGCCCCAGGGCGGGCAGGGTGGGAAGCGGAACGCGGGCCTGCCGCCTCGTGCCATGCAGCAAACGAGGACAGTAAAGGTGCGCGGTGAGGATGCAATAGTTAGGCCCTGGAAGGCTATGCCGACACGTTTCGAGCGGGGCGCGGCCAGCGAAAGTAGCAAAGGAAGGGCCGAAGGGACAGGCTGCACAGGAAACCTTGGAAAACCACTCATCCTTACTGTCAATCGGCGGCGAGCCCGGGGGGAAGTGAGAAGGAACTGGCCTTCTCAGAAGGCTCGGAAGCCCCCGGGCCTTCTGAAGCAAATCCTAAACTTTCCCCGAAGACGCAGAACCCTTGTCTCAAAAGGCCGGATGGCTTCTGAGAAGTCCCGCCGCCTTTTGAAAAGGCCTCCTCCTTCTCACCCCCCCCCTCGCTCGCCGCCGAGCAACGGAGGCGTGCCGAGTCACGACTGCAGGGCAAGAGAGGGAGGAGGGTCTTTCGGGGGAGGAGGGGGAGAGAGAGGGGGGAGGGAAGGGAAGGGCCTCTCTCTCTCTCTCTCTCTCTCTCCCGGCCCCCGATGCCATGCTGCCCCCTAAGTCGGCAGCCCCCCCTCGAGAACCCGCCCATGGTCGCGCAGCGCGCGAAGCCGCCCCCCCTCTCAACTAACTGCACGCAAGAGGTGCTGATACCGCTACTGCAGACCCCCTCGCGTCGTGAACAAATCGCGACGTGAAACTTTTGGCTCTTTTCGGCCTCCGGGGGCCCTTCCCGGGCCTCGGGACCGTCAAAACACGAACGACGCAGTCTGAGAGACTGGCCCCGGCGAAGGGGTCCAGACTTCTGAGGGTCACGTAACGAACAACAGAAATTGCGTCGCGCGATCGGCTACTACACGCAAGAGTGGCCCTGGGCAAGAGTCTCCTGTGGGGTGCGCGGCCTTCGGGCCGGCCGCGGGGAGGCCGGATCCTGGCGCGCGGGCCGCTGGCCGACCACATCCGCCCAGAAAATCGGCCCTGGGCCTCTCCCAAGCGTCCATCCTGACCCGCTGTCGTCGCCCTCCTCGTCCTCGTCCTCGTCCTCCTCGGCCTCCTCGTCCTCGGCCTCCTCGTCCTCGTCCTCGTCCTCCTCGTCCTCGTCCTCGTCCTCGTCCTCGCCCCGTTGGCTGTTTTGACTGTCGCTTCGGGGTGAACCTCGGCCGTGCCAGCCACGCCGGCCAGCAGCCGGCCCGCCTGGCTCCGCCGGGGGGCGCTGCCGCTGCCGACGAGGCCCCACCGCAGCCAGCTCAGAGGGAGGAGGAGGAGGAGGAGGAGGAGGAGGAGGAGGAGGAGGAGGAGCAGGAGGAGGAGGAGGAGGAGGAGGAGGAGGAGGAGGAGGAGGAGGAGGAGGAGGATGGGGAGGAGGAGGTTCTGGAGGGGCTGCAGTGGACAGCGGTGAGGGCCCGTTGCTGAGGGCCGCCGCTGACTCGACCGGGCCCCTCTGCCGCCGCCGCCCCGCCCGCCTTCGCGGCGTCTATTGCGCCGCGGACCCACGCGGGGAACTCCTCGGGCACCGACAGGGCCTCCCGCGGGGCGGGGACGCGAAGGCGCAGGAGGAGAGAGAGAGAGAGAGAGAGAGAGGGAACGCTCTCTCTCTGCCGCGGGCGGCACGCCGCCGGCGGCCAGAGGGGAGAGTGACGGGCGGCGAAGCCTTCGGATCGCCTGCGAGGAAGGTGCACCAGCGGACGGAGCTTCCCGAACTCCTCCGAGGGAGGGTACGAGGACGAGGACGCCATCGACAACCAGTCTCCAGCGAAGGAACAAGAACGCCTTTTTCCGTGCTCCGCCGCTAAACGTCAAACGTGCAGCGCGTGCAGCAGGTTGTTGTGCGATGGATAAACAGAACCTGCTCCCCGATTGCATCCTGTCTTCCGAATTATCTTCATACCACTGCCCTCTCTCAGAGGACTCTCGGTGGCAAGTAGCCAGTGCAATGGGTGGAGCGGCTGGGTCAAACTAAACTGGACATGCCTGGCAACGACACGCACACTTGCACATGGTAAGCACTGTCTACTGCGAATACTTCTTCCGATCTCCATCACCGGCCCATGCCCTGAGAAGTGCCGACCAGTGTCATACACATGAATCTACAAACACAGATGCACACATGCGTACATATGTACACAAATCGATACTTACAATTTGGTGCAAGTGACAAATGAACATGTACATACTGTAGGGCGGTGCAACCGATGTGGTGCACTGTAGGGTGTGCAAGTAATCTTGAACAACAAATCAAGATTGTCGACTCCACTGCTCGCGCAATCATCCCGCCCACCCACCCGCAACTTAGTTCGCAAAGCCCATGCGAAGGCGACTGCGATAAGTGCTTGGTATTGACTGGTGAATCTCTGCGGCCGCGCTAACCCGCGAATGCTCGCGCGAACAGAGGCCAACTAGTTTGGCGCGAACGACGCGGCCGCAATGGCGCTGACCGCCGGCGACTTCCCAGCGGGCACCTCAGTGTGAGTCGGGGACTTGGGCGGGCACGGTATCATGGCGACGTCGGCACAACTAGACATGATGATGATAGTAGCGATGATGGAGACGATGACGACGGCAAGGCCGATGATGGCGCCGATGCTGATCACGCCGATGACGATGATGGTGTCTTCGCGTCGGTGATGAAGGTTTTGGAAGGAATTCGACAGGCGCGCGCGGTCGACGCGCGCGAGTGGCCCGCATGGCATGATCTGACGAAGGATCTTGTCCCCCCCAAGGCACGTGCGCAAGGGCTTTCGAATGATTTCGACATCCGGTGCGACAGGCCCTTTGGTCGAGTTTGATGAACCGGTTGGAAAAACTAATGGTTTCTTCGAAGTTAACAAGAGCGCACGCAAACCTTTTTTGAAAACGGATGTTTTGTACCATATGTTTCCAGGACACTCGATTTTATAATCCGCATGGTTTCTCATGTTTTGCAAGACTCCTTCACGCGCGCGCGACGACTCGCGCGAGTGCACGTCGTTCCATATGTTGCAAGAGATTCTTGCGACAGCACGCGCGCAAAGGGTGCTCCAACACTTTCGACATGCGCTCGCGACGGGCACGTCTGGTAGCACTTGATGGACATGTTTGAACCCGATGGTTTTTCTTTAAGAATTCGGGGGGGGGGAACACGAGCGTATGCTTGTTTTTGGTGACATCCGATTGGAAACCCTTACTGATACGACGGTCTTTGAACGATGCCGGCATGCGCGCGCGACGGCGCCCGCGTGTGCATTTCGTCAATTCAATTGCAAAGGATGACTGGCAATTGCTGGTTGTTGATGAACGAGTGCACGCGCATACTTTTGGACGAAAGGATGCTGAGGGCAGCCGATAAAGGGACTGTCTGGGATGGTGCGGATTCATATTTACGGTGGGCGTTGGGGAAGCATCTTAACTTGCAATACGGCAAGGCGGACCGTTTAGTCCACGGGGGGGTATATCCAAAATTCAAAAGACAGGAACCTCCAGGTCGAACAACATGTGTGTTACAATCGATGTCGTGCAACCAACGCAAAACAACCTGTTCGTGCAATTTGTATTTTACAAGCGAGCTAACGATTTCCATGCTTGTCGCAAAAAACATCCCACCCACCCACCCGCAACTTGGTTTACTGAACCCACGAGGCGGCGATTGCGATGAGTGCTTGGCGTTGGCTGGCGCATATCTGCGGCCGCTCTAGCCCGCGCACACTCGCGCGCAGTTGCCAGCTAATTTGGCGCGGCCGACGCGGCCGCGGTGGCAGTGACCGCTAGGCATTTCCCAGCGGGCACTTCAGTGCGAGATGGGGAGTTAAGCGGGCGCGGTAGCATGGTGACGCCGACAACGGTAAACACGATGATAAGAACAGCGATGATGGTGACGATGGTGGCGATGAAAACGGCAGGGCCAATAACGGTGCCGATGCTGATCACGCCCGCCGGTAACGATGATGATGTCCTCGCGTCGGCGATGCAGGTTTTTGAAGGAGTTCGACATGCGCGCGCGGCCGACGCGCGCAGGTTGCCCACGTGGAACTATTTGACACGGATCGTGCCCCCCCCCAGCACGCGCGCAGGGGCTTTCGAATGAGTTCGACCTGCTGCGCGAGAGGCCCGTTTGGCAGAATATGGCAAAACGGTTGAAGAACCAATGGTTTTCTTAAGCCCCGCAGTGCCGCAAGCGCAGTTTCTTTTTTAGAAAAGAAACAACTGATATTGCAACGCAGGTGTGCTGTTATATGTGTTCGGGACGCTCGGTTTGTAAGTCTCTTTGAATACTCAGGTTGTTGAAAGATTCGGGCACGCGCGCGCGACGACGCGCGCGCGCGCGCCGCCCCGATTTTTGCAAAGGACCCTGGCGACAGCACGCGCGCAAGGGAGTTCCAACGATTTCGACACGCGCGCGCGGGAGGTCCGCTTGGTAGCATGTTGTGACAATGTTGAAGCAACAGTCGTTTTTTTGGAGAATTCGCAAGAGCAGGGGCGCAGGTTTCTTGTGTTGGAAACTCTTTTTGCGAAACCAAGTTTCCTTGCGAAACCAAGTTTCCTTTTCGGCCTTAAAAAATTCGGCATGTGCGCGCGACGACGCGCGCGTGCGCACTTAGTCCCATATGTTGCGAGGAGCTCTTGGCAACTGATGACTTGTGATAAACGAATGCGCGGGCACAATTTTTTTTGCAGAAGATGATGGGGGGGGGGGGGGGGCAACTCCGACCTGGCTGGGATGGTATGAACTCATATTAAGGCTGGGCGATGGAACAAAACCTGATGTAAACTGCAATACGGAACAATGTGCCGTTAACCCAGGGGGGCGTCGATCCAAATATTCTTTCAGAGAGGGGAATGTACTTTGTGCAAGTCACCCATGCTCGCAACGAGCTGTCAACTCCAATGCTCGCGCAATCGTCCCACCCAACCACCCGCAACTTGGTTTGCAGAACCCATGCGACGGCGATTTCGGTGAGTGCTTGGCGTTGGCTATTGCACCTGCGCGGTCGCGCTAGCCCGCGCACGCTCGCGCGCACAAGAGCCGACGAGTGCGGCGCGACCGACGCGGCCGCGGTGTCGTTGACTGCTGGGCACTTCCCAGCGGCGAATCGGCGATTTGGGCGGGCGCGGTAGCATGGCGACGCCGGCAACGGTAGACGCGATGCTACTTACCCGTTACGAAAGTTATTCATCTTGAGCACTGACGACTAGGGCGTCTCCGAGTGGCCCCCCTTCCCCCCGTAGACTCCTAGCACGGCAGTCTTCGGCCTGGCTCGGCGGGAGAGATTTCCGGGGTTCTCCCTGGTAGCATTAATAGTATATAACCAATTCAGGATAAAATCTCTCCCCCGTAAATTCACTTGGGAGAAATCACTCCCGGTCACTTCCAGGCAACTCTGAATCTCTCCCCGTATGAGACCACAAGGAAGAATCACTCCCATACCACTTCTCAACACAGCGCCCACACATGTCAATTTCAGCCAAGATGAATTAACTTTCGTAACGGGGATGAGGACCCGCGATTTTTTTCACACGTCAACGTCAGCCAATGTCATGAGGAACCCAAATTCGAAATCCGAATGGGGCCCAGCATCGCGCTCGACAGACACGTCGCCATCTGCGTGCTTGCGGTCGGCCTCGCATGACACCAAGGGTCTGCTGGGCACGCGCGAGCGCGTTGTGGTGGCCAAAGGCGCCGTTGTCAAGGGGTAGCGCTGGTCTCACCCTTGTAGAAGTGCAATGTAAGATACCGCTTACCCGTTACGAAAGTTATTCATCTTGAGCACTGACGACTAGGGCGTCTCCGAGTGGCCCCCCTTCCCCCCGTAGACTCCTAGCACGGCAGTCTTCGGCCTGGCTCGGCGGGGGAGATTTCCGGGGTTCTCCTCCCTGGTAACATTAATAGTATATAACCAATTCAGGATAAAATCTCTCCCCCGTAAATTCACTTGGGAGAAATCACTCCCGGTCACTTCCAGGCAACTCTGAATCTCTCCCCGTATGAGACCACAAGGAAGAATCACTCCCATACCACTTCTCAACACAGCGCCCACACATGTCAATTTCAGCCAAGATGAATTAACTTTCGTAACGGGGATGTAATTGTAGCGATGATGGTGGCGATGGTGGCGATGACGACGGCAAGGCCAGTGACAGCGCCGATGCTGATCACGCCCGCTGATAATGATGACTATGTCCTCGCGTCGGTGATGGGGTCTTGGAAGAATTTGTACATGCGCTCGTGGCCGACGCGCGCGAGCGGCCCGCGTGGTACTATTTGACGCGGGTCACGGCGCCCCCCAAAAAACACGCGCGCAAGGGCGTTCGAATGAGTTCGACATGCGGCGCGAGAGGCTCGTATGGCAGATCTTGATGACAATGGTGAGAAACCGATGGTTCCCTTAAGACTTCGCAGCAGCGCGCAATTATTGTCCTGTTGAAAACCGATGTTGCAAAACCATGTGTTGTTATATTTTTGTTGGGGCGCTCGTTTTTGAAATCTGGAACGACAATCGGCGACGAGACGACAGCGGGGCGGCGGCGGCGGGAACATCGCCGCCGAACC